TGTCTAAAATGATACCGCCACGTACGGACGCATTTTCAATAAAAAATCAATATGCTCCTATACCGAGGAGGAAAATCTCCGTGATAGCATCGTCTCTAGCAGAGTTTGTCTCGCACAGCATCGTCTCTAGCAGAGTTTAGTCTCGCACAGGGAGCGGCCGCCCCCTAGAATTTTCAGGGCAAGGGTATTTTAGCCTAACACCCTCCCCCTCGGGCGCTTCGGCCCTTGAGCTCGCATGATTTGCCCCCCCCCCTTAGAATTCACTTCTGGATGCGCCACTGGTATGCACTGCTGGTGACACTGCAAGCCAACCGGGTTCACACCCATAATATCAACCATAAAAGTACAGCGTAGGAAAACATAATACGGGATGTTTTCGCTCGCACATCAAAGATCATCAAACCGTCTCAATTGCGCAGATATAAATGCAGCAGCCTGTGACCCTGGCAAAACTAAGCGCCGTCGCACAGACAGGTATACTGAATCAGGGGCGTGTACAGGATTTGTACCAGGGGGGGGGGTCTAACTGTAAACCAAAGTTGCGAGCACGCAAAGGGGGGATTTTTTGAAATTAGACCCCCTTAGATGCGTTTTTTGCGCGAGCAGGGGGGGGGTCCGGACCCCCTAGACTCCCCCCCCTGTACAAGCCCCTGACCCCGACATCCGAATATCGCGTGTCCATTTGGTTCAACTCACGAGGTTTCCCTGTCGCAGAGCATTTCAATCAGACCGGCGATATAAGGGGGTTGTGGGCCAGGGGCGTATAGATAGCGAGGGGGATGGGAGAATATATCCCCCCCCCACTTATTGAGGTGGGGGTGGCGTGTACAATCCCCCCCCACTACTTTTAGGAGGAAAATAGGGACAAATTTCATATTTTACAGACATAAATACTGAACATTTATCTACAAATCTGTCATCGCTATTCATTCTCTCCCAATGTATTATTACACAAATGGAAAGTGACATACATCTACTGTAAAATGTCTGTAACTCGTTCCAAGAATGACATTATTTTACTAAAACTCAGACGGTTAATTTTGGACGCATTCCCTATATACGATTTTTTTTTCAAAATCCCCAAATCACATCTTATCACAGCTCACGAAAGTTAAATCCTTGCTTCATTCAAAATTAGAATAGACCTATTGAGAGTTGGGATATTGGATTTTCACGGGGATTGAATGGGAAAAATCGATCTTCATCACACGTTTTTTGGGGGGTGGGGGATGGGGGTGCTGAGACCCGACCGGAAGTATATTCCCGATTTTGTATAAAGGGTGAAAATATGCATTTTTGGTTCAAGTCTGGTTGTTTTTCTCATCCTTTTTCGTGCGCAGTTTTAGCGTTCTCAGTAAAATATACGTTTTATCAAAATTTCAGGGAGCGATGATTTCAGTACTGTAGTTGTCAGTGGCTGATCCAGGGGGGGGTGTCTATAGCACAGGGGGTGGGGCGGTCGCCCCCTCTAGAATTTTATTTTAGCCTAGGTAAGTCTGCACTGGTAACCCCAGTGAGGACATGTACATAGCACAGATTTAGTAGTAAGTATTTTAGTTTTTGATGTCCCCAAAGATAAAAATACTCAACTCAACAGTGATATTATTGTGATGAAGATTGTTTAATAATGCTGCCTCAGAGTGCAGGAAATTGTGCAAGAAGAGGTGTAATTTTCAACAACATTTCGGGGGGAGGTCTTCCGGACCCCCCTAAACAGGAGGCGAACACCCCCCTGAAGGAGGAAAAATCTCCTGATATTTTATGATAAAGATGACCAAAATTGATTGCTTTTAGATTGCAACTTTTTAACAATTCCACACAGTGGGAGGGATCCCCCCCCTCTGGCGCTTCGTTCCCTTGAGCTCGCATGATTGCCCCCCTAGAATCCACTTCTGGACCGCCACTGGTTGTGTGTGTGTGGGGGGGGGGTTGCGTGTTATTAAACCTCTGGGATCCAAAGAAAAAAATATCCGTAGAATTCACAAATATTGCACTTACAATTTCTTTTTTTTTTAATTCCCTCAAAAACGCCCATCTTGAAGGTTCTAAATTGCTAAAATCCAAGAGCTTTCGGGGGCTCAGTCCCCTAGACCACGGGCAAGGGCTCTGCCCCTGCAGCCCGCCAGGGGCCCTAGGGCGGGCCCCTGGACCCCTCCCGTTTAGGGCTCCGCGCCAATGCGCTCGCGGTGTGCGCTACGCGCACACACGCTTCGTATACTTTGCGATTGAAGTAACAGCAAAATCATCCCCCCCCCTCCACAACTGAGGACCTGTCTACGCCACTGGTTGTGGCTACCCAATGTCAACCCAGTGCAACAGCACACAGTGACATTCTCACTAGCATTCGCAGTGGCATATCTGAAACACGACGATATAAGTTCTAATTTCTATTACGTGTGAGAACTATTATAATAGTAATAGATTACTTGTCTTGTATTTTATATCTGTGATTAGCCCGAATATCTATCCAGTGTATTAAGAGAATTGCTGAACGCCTTTTTCTTGTAGATTCTTGTCATAACCCTTTACAGTAAGTCTATACAGCGATCTAATTACGTTCCACAACGAACATTGGTTTTCATTCTGCTGTCAGCTTGAAGAAGAGAGGTAATCTCGAAAGCTTACTCTTATGATATGTTCCCAGCAGACACGCAACGTCTTTTAGACGTCTTTCACTTGTCGCTTCATGGCCATGCAAACAACGTCTCAGAATGACGTAAAACGACGATTATTAGACGTGTCTTCATTGATGTCTATATCAAGTTCGAGTCTATTATATTATAGGCGACAGTGGCGTAGACAGGTCCTCAGTTGTGGGGGGGGATGATTTCGCTGTTACTTCCATCGCAATGTATATGAAGAGTGTGCGCGATAAGCGCACACCGTGAGCGCCTTGGCGCAAAGCCCTTAATGGGTGGGGTCCAGGGGGCGGAGCCCCCGGAAGCGCTTGGATTTTAGCAATTTAGAACCTTCAAGATGGCCGTTTTTGAGGGAATTAAAAAAAATTGATATTGTAAGTGCAATTTTGTGAATTCTAGGGTAATTCTTTTTCCCCCCCCCGGGCACTTCGTGCCCTGAGCTCACATGATTCGCCCTCCTAGAATTTTCTTCTGGATCTGCCACTGGTTGTGTGTGTAGGGTGGGGTGCGTGTTATTAAACCTCTGGGATCCAAAGGGTGTTGGAGGGGGTGTCCCCC